CAGATGAATTTTTACCCCTGAGGACTACGATGCAAAGCCTCGTTACTGTAAAAATAATCTCTGGCTCCAGGAAATATTTTGGGACAATGTGAGTTCTGTCTACACGCACTGGCAACAACGCCGATTAGTCGGCTTTATACCATATCACAAATGAGTGAAATGTGAAAACCACGTTTTTGAAAGGGTTATTTATTACAATGAACATTATCACTCCAGCCTACATAGGTAAATAATTTAAATCTTCACCTAAAATGCATAAAAAGAGTCACCCACATCAAATTAGAATACATAATATACCTTATTCATACACCTATAAAGTTGAAAATACACAGCACAATTCATATTGCCAAAGGCAAGCAATTCTCAAAATGAACCATCAATAATTGGAATCTACATGTATTTTTCAAGTAAGACGACAGGGTGAAAAGGTTATACTACAATCAAATATAAAGGAAAAGTTACGAGTCTTGGTTTATTTAAACTTATGTCGGTAGGGTAATGAAAATTCGGCAATCCGAATGGTTATTTGTTGAAGCTGTATTTTACCAAGCCTCGGGCTTGTTAACTTTTACATAGTTTTGTTGAAATAAGAACCATGAAAGGTATAAAAATATCACTTCCATTATATAGAATTTTTAAGTAATACATTTCTAACTGCCCCTTTAACAGCAATTGTATTTATATTTGGGTGTCATAAATGGCAAATGTATTTTGTTATACTTACGAGTATGTATGTACGTCAATATGTGTTAATATTGCTGAGTGGTGATGGTGTAAATTGAATTAATTGGTGTGAATTCATTGTTTTATTGGTTTCGTGGTTGCTGTAGCGGGCAACTGGCCTTGTATGGCCACTTCGTATAGCATCATCATCATCGAAGCATTCCATTCCGTCCCTATAACACGGTGCTGAGCTACTTGGATCCGTCGACTCCCTAGTCCAAGTGGCTCAGCCAGTTTACTATAATAAGATGTTAAATGACGCCTAGGTATTTAACAGTATCATTAGTAGTTTAAATAAGTTACAGAAATATGATATGATTGATATATTTTTAGTGCTTTCATACTTGTTGTGGATAGATTTTCTAAAGTTTTCAGGACGAATCAAAAAAAATATTATCATGTCGGGGAGGCAGCTGCGGGCAGGGCAGAGTTCCCTTTGTAATTTGTTCTTCCTTTTTCTGGTAAGGCCCGAATGTCGAATGAATTTCCTCTCTGGTTTTGATGTTGGTGCTGTTAGCCTATGCGGATCTCATAAAGTCATAGGGCTAGGCTCAGGACTCAGGGTTGTGTCCCATCCGTTGTTCAATCAGTGTTTGTTGGCACTAGGTGAATGTGTAGAGTGTAGTTCTAGAATCTAGCGGAACTAGGGGTTCGATTAAAACTTTGTGGGGCCTCCGGAGGCTTTACTTAACATTTTGAGTCGAAGCGTAGATTGCTGCGTTACAGAATGACCGTGAATGAACAGCGTTGGTCATGTGTCTTAGCGCTCTCAAAGTAGCGCCGAGACATTTTCTTAAAATGTTCAGAGGTCGTCGGGATTTGACAATCTCTGGTCTGAGTTTCAATGGTACCACCGAGCTCCGGTGGCGATGCGAAGAAATCTATTTTGGACGACTTGGAGGTCGTGCAAATGCTTATGAGCTGCGTGTGCGAAGACTACGCTTACGTAGGACATGATAGGTCTAACGCAATCTTTGTAGAGCTTATGTCTTAGGGACTATTTGCTGTTACTGTTAATTAGCGGGTGGAGGCGACTAGTGACAAATTTGGCACGGTTGCGAACGGCGCAAAATGTGTTTCGCGAAGGTCATGGAGTGGTTGAATGTGACCTCCATGTATTTCGCGGTTAGTTGCCACGGGATCTGGTAGCTGAATAGGGTGATCGTGCCTAGAGTATTTTTTGGATTAACGTTACGATTTAGGGAGGTTTACCTTTGAAAGTATATTGCTATAATTTTTTCAGGGTTCAATTCAATTCTCCATAAGCGAAACCATTCGCCTAAGCGATTGGCGGGTCTTAGGAGCATCGCTGTGAGATATTTCTTGTGCAAATGAGAGACGTAGAGTACTGTGTCGTCTGCAAAGAGAGCGATTGAAGAAGAGGGCACCGGTGTTACGGGTTCGATTATTCCCTTTTGAGTGGGAGAAACCTTTTAGAATGTACTCCGTAAGGCAATGAATCTGGTTTGTGATGTGAATGCGAATGAATTCCAAGCAAATGGATGCGATATTTATATGTTTTCCAGTAACTTTCTAGAAACTTTTCTGCCTTACCCCCTCTGACCATTATTCTTTATTTTATAAATAAAGTACCTGGTTGACCGAGCTTTGCTCGGTATTTTTCACTCAGTTATTTTAATTCGTGTGTTTTGGAAATTATATTTAGATACAAATTACATACTGATGAAATACGAATAATATTTTTTGATCGTAGCGACATAATAGAAAAACTGAACTGGTTATTTGAATAAAAAATCATGAGTGCAATTAGTTCAATTTAAATTTTCGTGTTTTTAAAAAATACTAAAAAAGGGCCCAAAAAAATATATTTTCTCAAAAAAAGAAAGGAACTTGAAAAAAAAAAAATTAAAAAAAGTCGGTCGTTCGGTCTGGACTCGAACCATGGTATTACGATTTTGTGACCGCACAATATACCAATTAAGCTATTTGTAATCATTAATAAACTGTCAAAATTTACCTACTTATTCTAACGATATTGTAGCAGTTTTTCATTGCTTAAAAACACGGACAAAAAAATATTTTCTAAAAATAAATCCTAGCTAGATCGATTTATTGCCACCGAAACTCCCTGCACACAAAATTTTATGAAAATCGTTGGAGCCGTTTCGGAGATTCCGATTATATATATATATATATATATATATATATATATATATATATATATATACAATAATTGTTCGTTTAAAGTATAGGATATTAATTTATATATTATATCTTCATTATATTAAGTCTTAGCTTACATTATGCTACTTACATACGTACATAAATACGTACGGCACTCGGCGCCGTTCGGTATAGAAATAAAAGCGCAATTTTTTTTCTGAAAGTGTATGCTGTTGCCCCTGCGGCCTTTACAGCTTCATCGAAATAGACTCGTGAGTGAGGTGGAGTGAGGACCCACAAGTGCGACGATCCTGCCATCGCCGAGCACCCCCCGGTCCCGCAGTCCTCAAGCTAGGAGGGGGCTTGATTTGATTCAAGGCCCGTTTGAAGGAGGTACGAACTTCGACTTGAACCACTATCGTAATGGGGGGAAATAAAAGCGTTAATTCGGGAGCGCCCTTTAACCTGCGCCCCTCTTTCACCCAAGGGGAGTCGCTTCCGATACGACTGAATAATCTTAACAGGCTATATGATATTTTATAGCCAGTATGACAGGTGGTGTTTAGTGGGTAAAGCAATGAGGTTTCCCGGTGAGTCCCACATCATCACGCAGCCGTCTGCTCGGTATGCTATGAGCATTCACCACCGCCATTCCCCCGCTTTCCGGAGGATAGCCCTTATTTGCTTCTATGCGCAAAAAAACGCTCTTTAAATATCACCCCGCTTATACGCCCTAGCTTACCCGCACGGGTACGACCCAGTCTTCAGTGGAGCGTCGGGGCCATAGATTACTGACTAGTCGGGGCGTTCACACACATTATTATGAATTTAGATATGATCTTACTTATGGCTTAATTAATCCTCAAACATACTATTCCCTTTAATATTTCAATAAAACACATCAAAATAATTAATTTTATTTACATACATACTTATATGCCTATAATACGAGTTTGATTTCGTAATATTATGTTGCATCTATATCTACGTACTATAATATTACATTATATCTTTATCCATGACCATATCTTATCGCTTATCTATTGCACTATGATAATACATAAAAAGGTAAACAATGGAATAAAAACATAAACATTATTCATCTGCGTATCCTATTTTTATAAAGTAACTTTTAAATCTAAAATATATAACAATAAACTTAACTATTTATTAGAAACTAAACTACTTAATAAACACTAATTAATAAAAACATTTACGTTAGTAATCATAATGTTAAATTACCGAGAAATATGATGAAATATAATAAAGGAATGGTCACGTGGTCCATCCCTCTTAGTTGCTTTCGATGCTGTCGTGCACATTTCTACCGCCGTCGCAGCGTGCGATTCTACCGGTAGCGAGACGATCTTCTTGCAGTCTTCGCAGGACATGCCCGTTGCTTATAGTGACGTCCACGACTCGTACCTCGCTGTCCTCTGCGCGGTAGACTGGTTACTTTTCTTCTAGGCCACACGTTCCTTGGTAAGTTCGGCTCGCAGATTGCGACTAGGCCACCGACCTTTGGCTTAGTGCGGCTATAGCAAAGTCGGTACGTAGTGATGTGACTACCTCGGTATTCGCTCATATTGTCATGCAGGTAAAGAGTGCAACCCATCGCTTTTCATGACGTCTTCCGACGGTGACATCTATGGGTCCAAGTAATCGAGCCTGTGTAGGAGAATGGCCACGGGTGATTAATGAAGCGCGGGTGGCTGGTCTCCCATCGATGGGATCATTGGCCTTGCTATTCTTATCTTGCATTCCGGACAACTTTTATCACGCTTTTTACTGTAGGTCAAATCCTTGTCACCCAGGAGCGATGTCTTATCTCGTTCACAATCATTTTATTCCGCCGTCAACCATTTTTTATGTATTTTCCACCCAATAGAGCAGGGTTAACTGTTTCTTGACTTATGCCTGGCGCACAGTCCATCTTCTGCTGTATATACACTCAATGTGGCGAGGCGATCTTTTGACGTAGGAGCGCTATCGTGCATTACGCGAATCTCGTTGGCGTAGCTGTCATCTTGCGTCTTTCTTATCCATATCTCTGCTCGCGTAAGGTAACTCTTGGCAGATAAGCCTTTTTCTTTGTATCTTTTTAGGGACCACATCTTTGCTCTTGATAGTCTTCATGTTTTTACTGTTTTTTTTTAAAACGGGATCTTTATGGACGTTCTTCCGTGCGCGCTTGCATTTCGCTGCTGCCGTAATATGCCTTTTGGACACGTATATGTAAATTGTAGCACACGTCCCGTAGTGCACATAAGCACTTGCCATTTAGCAATGTTGTTCATATCGGGTAAGTATTCGTAGTGGGTCTTCTGTTCATGACATATTATATTCTCGCCAGTTTTCTCACGCACTGACTTGACTTCTGTGGGCCACTCCTCATCTAACTGTCTTAAGAAGTCAGGTCTGTGGAACCATCGGTGCCTTGCGTCGAAGTTGATTGGAGTCTCTAGTTGCGTCATCAGAAATGTTGTCTTTGGTTAAACTATAAAATAGCAAATATTACTGAAATGTTTCAAAATATATGTATAATATACTTGTGTTTTACCGGTGGTTACCGGTTACCGGTAAATAAATAAACAAAACCACATTCTTAGCTGTAATACCATTACCATTATATACCATACCATTATATACTACAGTACCATTACATACCGTTATATACTACAGTTTGCTCAAACTCACAGACTAATATAACGCTACGCATAATAAACGTGTTCAAAAACTTTTTTACACTAAGAAAAAATAATACTGCGATTGTATTTGCAATTAGTTTGCAAGCTATTTACAAATAAATATGTATTAAAATTTAAACGATTTCGTTTATGACCGACGATTTTAAACATCAATCAAAAGTCTAAAATGTGCAAATTAGCTAATTCTGTCAACACAGATATTCCTTCTCTTTTTTTCTTCAGAAGGAGATGATTTGTAGGATTCGTTGTGAATCTTTCGTTAGTGCCTTGGAATAAAGTCTGATTTTATGTAATAATAAAATCAGTTTGTAACATTTAATTATCGAAATTTGTATGACCAATGATCAAATTGGGTTTCGTCGTATTATGAGTATAGGAAGGATACATTTAAAAAAGTTTGGGAGATTAGCATAAACGAATATCGTGATATGGGATTTTTTTTATATTAAGATATTGCATTCTTATAATAGGCATTTTCTTATAAAATTCTACGAATATGTAATAAATTAGTACATTGCATGTTATGTTTAATAAAACTAATAAATTTTTTGTCCGATGTTTTTTTGGTAAAAAAGCAATTATTTATTTATTTATTTGATAATAATTTTACAATATTTAGATTGGTATTTTACAGTATAAACATAAGCTTTACCGTATACCAATGTAATGTGTGGTAGTATGTAAATACCTACGTATGAAGTGTAAACTTGTATTTATACAAAAGTGAAATTTTAAATAAGTATTAAAAATAAATGTTAGTCGTTGTTATTCTTAAAGCTTTCAAGATCAGCTTCAGCGTTTATTCGTATCTATCTATATTTGTCATCTTAGCGTTGGCAAGCAATTCCGTTTAGAGTCCAGCAGTACATAAATATGTGTGCTTTCATGAATGCTTTCGCTGACTGAAATAATGGTTTCTTCAGGTTTCTTTGGTTGTTAAAGATTTACATGGGAAGTATTTAATTTATCGTCTCTTGATTTAGTTTTATTAAAACTTTTTACCGCTTTAACAATATTATTTTATTTGCTGATAACACAGCTTAGTTCCACTGTAATCGAACCAGAACTGTCCTTGATGTTCAATTTATAAGTACCTTTCATTTCAGAGTTTTCTATATTAACCCTAGTAGTAGAGTAGTTAATCAATAAAAAATAATCAGGCGCAGTCGCTGCGGTGCATAGAACTAATTTCATTTGTTGCCAAAGTTGTAGGTAGCGCTGACTCTGCTGTACTGAGCGTGGGCGATATTGGTGTGGTGAGAGGCGAAGCAGGGGACGTACAGTTTTAACGGCATTGTGATTGCGTTTAAATGAATTTACTAGGATAGCGAATAATTAGTGATAATTTTCATATATACCTAACTACATTGAAGTCAAACTAACACAAGCGTCAAGTAATTTGGGCGACGATCGATAAGCTCATACAAATGATAGATTGTCCACTTAAGCAAGATACAAAGGCTGAGTACTTAAATTATATTTTTATTCTTTTTTGTGTATACCGTCTTGTACTGTTTAAAAAGTGCTGTATTTTTTTTAATTTATATCAATATTCCGTAATAGATAGTCAACTCCTTTAACTCACACATGGCTTTATGACATAGAAAAGTGGATATTGAAACAACTTCATCAACAAGCTGTGCTCCTATTCAATCTTATTTTATTAATAATTATAAAAAAATCGTCGTTAATTCTGCAGCACACTTAACATGTCCTACTTTGAAAGTTTGGGAGGAAGGGGGATGTATTTATTCATTCACCAAAAATTGGTAGCAAAACACTTATAGTTAAATTATTTCCTGTTAACGTACTTTTAAATAAGTGAGTTATGAAGACTCAATATTAATAAGCTATCGAAAATGAAATAGTAATGTATAATTATATGAACTTAAAGAATCTTTTAGGAGAGTCGGCGTGAATAAATAAAAAAATAATAAGTGAAATGAAAAAAATACATCTTGTGGGTTGTTGGAGGTGAGTAGTTTGTTGGGAGAGTTGGTAGAGTTATGCTCTACTAGTTTTAATCCAGCCTAGAATCTTTCTAAAGAAAGGTCTTTAGGTAATTAAGTATCGAGCCTTGTTTTTGCTTCTTTGCTCATTGTCACCTTCCTCACAAAATTTTGGCATAATAAAACCGGGATATGGTAAGGTGTGATTCTAGATTAAAAGACGACTTATATAGTTCGTGGTAGAGCCACGCTGCAGCTATATCATGATTGTGGCACGAATGGGTCGGTTTGACCGGGGCAGGGCCACGCTTCCACAGAATACCAGCGTAAAAAAGCAGCTTAATGCTGCTGTGTTTCGTATGGTGAGTGTAGAGAACCGGAGACCCATTTTACTGGAATCGAGGCATTCCATCTTAATCCTCGCATCTGCATTTTGATTCCTAATCGAAGTTAAATGTAGATGTCTATAGGCCACAGCATCCACTTACCATCAGGTGGTAATCTGTATGCTCGATTGTTACCCTAATTCTATATAAAAAACACATGTTCAGCCAAAAAAATTTGTGGTTGAAAATAATTTTAGATGCATCTGGGTGCTTGGGTGCGTGTTCTTATAATGTGTTTAGCATAATTTTGGCTTAGCTTCGGCGTCATATAAAATGTACCTAGCGCTCCGTCTGTTATTTTTTTTGTTAATCCGAGGCTAATTACTTTTTAAGCTGTGACAATTATTGTTTAAAATATCTATATTTCGCACGTTATTTTTTATACTTACATTCACTCGTTTTGTGTGTAGTGGAAAGTTTCGATTACAGGTGTCTTCATTATTATAGTATTCTATAGGTGTCTTGCATAATAGATACGCTACATTGGTCTTTATTATTTAACCTCATTTACACAGAAGTGTGTTTTGGAGGACCTAACGCCTGATATATTCTTTACCGTACAACCTTAAAATAGTACATAAATAAATAGAGAAAGGTGTACGAAACGGTATGCATATACACGTATATATAAATATATAGTTACTAAAATGATTATACAAATATGAATATTAAATATAAAGTAAAATAAATACAAATACAAGTATAAAACATAACAGTTATACACAATCTTTATGCGCGTGTGCGTGTGCGTGTGCGTGCTGTGCGTGCGTGCGTGTGTGCGTGTGTGCGTGCGTGTGTGTGTGTGTGTGTGTGTGTGTGTGTGTGTGTGTGTGTGTGTGTGTGTGTGTGTGTGTGTGTGTTGGATTCGGTGGGTAGTACCAGTACAGGTAGAGTCCAGAATTAACCGTACAAAGCCGGGACGGGACGGATGGCTAGTGGTAATTAAAAAGGAGTAAACTGTAGACGTTAAGATGATTCTGCCACTTTATTCACAAGAAGTTTTTGCACTTTATATTCGAACAATAAACGGCCAAAGAGGGACGAAATTCTTTCGCAGAAACAACGTCCTAAAGCCCTTTATGGATAACATTTGCCACATGGGTTTTCTAGCTCAGAGTAGAATAAAAGTGTGTAAGCCAAGGTCTTCCACGGTACTGCCCAGCAAACTTTGTGTATTGATATATTGTTTAATATTAAACGAAGATAATGCTCATGGTTCACCTATAAGTCCTATGTAGGTTTGGGTCTTAAGGGTCCCATGTTTAATTTGGGACTTATGACAAAAAGCAATGTGCCAACTATGTTAACTAGTAGCCTGTTGTAAAAGGCGACTGCTGGGAAATTGTGGTTAAGTGTACAACATACACACAAGTCAAATAATATATGTATAATAATTGTGTAAGCACGGTGTTCATAATACCACAATAAATAATTCTATATATAAAATTTCGCCTAGATATTGTTATAAAATTTGCGGACGTAATTACAATACGTGTAGGGCATAATCAGGAGCGAGCATTATTGAGGCAAATGTACGGAACAATAGGAGGCGCCGTGCTGTAAATAGAATATCGTATTACAATCAGTGGGTAGTATATTACATATTTATACAAAAGTAACTTTTGTTTCTATTTTATGTAAAATAATATGATATTTAGATGGCAAGCATGTTCGAACATGTGCGAAAGTATAAGGAGCTGCCACATCCCCAAGGCATTTGACTTAAAAATGCCTTCATTAAGCATCGTACTTGAAGAAAATATTATGAAAAGTCATATAATTAATCATAATATTCTTAGAAGTACCTACTAACCAAAACTTAAAAAAAATTAAAACTTATTACGTAACATAGTTGCACCTGAATGATTAGAAAACAAATGTGTTAGTTAATCGTTGAAAATTATTCAATATGTAGTTTTTTAATACAGTATAAGGGTGACAAACGAGCATAGAGTCCAGTAAGTGGTATCTAGAGTCCATACATATATTGTTTTCAAATAAGATTTAAATTCAGATGCGTTGTTACCATTGATGAATAAGATACAATGCTTCATTTTCAGTAAAAAGAGTTACCGGTTCTCTACACTCACCATACGCAACACAACAACATTAAGCTGATAATTCACACTGGTATTCTGCGAGAGCGTGATCCTTCCTCGGTGAAGCCGGCCCATTCGTGCTAAAACTATAATATAGCTGTAACGTGGTTCTACAGCGTAACAAAGTATTAAGTAGATTCCAATATTGTAGAGTAGAGATTGCGCAATGGATGTTGCGCATTGATGATAATTTATGGTTAAGGAGGACTAAGTCGACCGAGTAGTGGCGGTGTGGAAACATCAAATAGCCCATATCGTCCCGTGGGTGTCGTATCAGCCGTCAGAATTAAACTAAACAAGAGATAGGCAACAGCATTTTTCTGATAACAATCCAAAATAATAAAAACTACGGCTGCCAACTCGCCTGCCAAGTGTGGCAACTATGGCAAAATCCCCTCATATGAGGCAAGCTAGGGAGTCGGCCTTTGTATGATCAGCAATGGACAATTAAAGGCAGTAAGGGATGGAAGAGAAGGATAATTATAGTGTAATATATTAAAAAATACTCTATCTGGCTTTATCACAACTTACCATTAGGTTGGGAACAGTAGTAAAGCGCTGATTTATAATAGGTAAAAAGGAATTTGTTAAAACTACCCCCCAGAATAACACTGACATCGGGACGTCAGTCACCTCAGTTCCCCGTGACCATGGGTGCTGGAAAGCACCCGAAACATCGGGAGTTAAAAATCAAATAATTAAACGCGATTAGATCCGTAAAAGTAGTTTTAACCAATGTGTACTATTCGCGTAAATCAAATAATTAAACGCAATTAAATCCGTAAAAGTAGTTTTAACCAATGTGTACTGTTCGCGTAAATCAAATAATTAAACTCAATTAAATCCGTAAAAGTAGTTTTAACCAATGTGTACTGTTCGCGTAAATCAAATAATTAAACGCAATTAAATCCGTAAAAGTAGTTTTAACCAACGTGTACTGTTCGCGTAAATCATTAGGTAAAAAGGAAATTATGAATTTCTTTAAAAGGGGTGTGTAGAGGATGTTTTGATTATTTTTCTAAATGCCTACCTCACCTGCACGTCGACCAAACAAGCTGAGCAACTAATAATGCCACCATTATGCCACTATATGGATGGTGGATAGTGCATATTGGTACACCCAGTAACTTAGTAACCTTCAGACTGGTGAACGGACTGGAGAACAGACATACACCCATACTTAGAACTGAGTATGTTACACACTATTCACACTACTCATACTATGCCATTTATATCCCACACCACATACTACAACTACTAAATACACATCTTAATATATATATATATATATATATATATATATATATATATTTTTTTTTGGGGTATTTTATGCTACTGTGAGAGGGAGGATATGTTTTTGTTATTTAATTATTTACTTTAAGATATGTTATTTCGTTAATAATATTGTAATTTTTAGCTAAGGAAGAGCAGTCACTTGTTAGAAGCAGCATTTTGCTTACATATAATTTATTTGTTTATTTATTTAAACAACAGTATTGCCTGCGCGAGAGTATGGACTCTACGTTTACCAAACCTGTACACCCAGCGATCGCCAGGCGAATGTAGTCAATTTGTTTTCAAATATACATTTTTAAATTCGTATAACCTGGAGTGGATTAACACAATATGCTTTGTAAGTAGTAGTGATGACGTTAATCTTTGTGAGATTTAATGATGTTAACCTTTGTATAATAATAATAATAATGTTCTCCAAATCGAATTTCGGTCACGGCGGCCAGCCTCAACGGAGACTAGAAATTGGCGCAGGACAGTATTATGGTGCCCAAGTGTATCCGCAAGCACATGTGCACTCTCTTTTCCTTCACTCTCATAAGCCGATGGGACGGTAAACCGACAGGACCGAAGAGAGCTCAGGCGCAGGACCATCGCCTTTACGTGCTTTTCGAGGCACGGGAGTGAGACACTGCCAACTTCCTGACTCCGGGCCTGATTTTGTTGATTTATTTGGCCTGACCGGGGATTCGAACACTCATGATCAGCAGTCGCACTACTATAACCACTAGACCAACGAGGCAGTAAAATTTTAATTTAATATTATTTTTATATTAGTGAAGTATTATTATTATAAGATAACTAACTAACCTAAAACACTTAATTTTGCACATATTTTAACTAAACGTAATTATTTCTAAGCATTTGTGTATTTTTACTCACAGAGACTTAAATTTAATGTATTATAGATAGTTACTATGTATCTACGTATTGAAGTAGAGTCGATGCTGCAACCGCAGCTTCGCCGAGTGCCGACTTAATTATTTGTACCCCGCCTCAGGGTATTAAAATAACTACAACTAGCAAGGAAATCATCTCCCGTAAATCATTTCACTTTTCTGTCTCTACTTAGTTGAATATAAATTATTTATCTATATAAAACACAAAAAGCTTTTCTACTTATGTCCATCATAGACTTTGAACCTATCAAACCGATATGTCCCAAACCGGTTTCATTAGAAAGGCAATAATGTGAAGAATTGAAGATGGTTTAATACCAATAAAACAAAACAAGTCACTATATATATTAGTTAATAAATAAATACAAATTCCTTTTTTTTTCGAACTAATAAACAAAATGTATTTCTTTTTTAGCGTAGTAGCCCTTTTCCGGGTTTCCGTTATTAATTTCATACAATAAAAATAAGGCTCGTGTTGAGAATTAAGGCATATACGAATAAATGCTTTAAAACGTAATCAAATAAATAAATGAAATAATGATACACGTACTATGTTATAATAAATGAGACACTTTTGCGACATGATCTAATGTGAAAATATTCACAAAATAAACCTTGTATCTCGGTAACTAGTTATAAAACCTAATCATCAACTTTAGTATTGCCATGTGCATTAACATTGAATGGCTGAAAAACAGGCTAACACGCGGGTTTCGGGCTTCTGGACAACTGTTGAACACATCTGCTCTTTAAAGCCACCCCGCCGACTCGTTATTAAGGCTGTGGACAGGCCGCGCGTCAAGTTATTCCCGCACTAGTCTCCGTCCGTAACGGACGTGCGATTGTGTCGCGATACCCGCACGTAACTTCCTCGTAAATATGAAGTGTCTAAGATTTTGTGTTTTGGCCTTTATATACTGTTTTTCTTTTTTTATTGTGAACGCCGCCGAAATTAACATTAAGCAAGAGCTACAAGCGATGGCTGAACAAATAGCGATGCTAAAAACTTCGCACCTTTCCGACGTAACGCGTCTTCAAAATGAGATTGATGAATTGAAGTAAGTGGTCAAAATTTTGTAATTAATTTATTATTTGTGAAAAAGTTTTATTTTAATAAATTCTATTTAATTTGTTTAACTGTATTATATATTATTATATACTTACTTGCTATTCGCTCCGACTTCGCACTGGTGATTTTTGAATTTCAACAATAGCGTCACCTACGGGTCCAATTTTAAATCTAAAGCATCCAGAGGCCCACTCAAATGCACACAAAATATTCATCTAAATCAGTCGAGGCATTTTTGAGTTTCAGCGAGACTAACGCACCAGCAATTGATTTTTATATATAGAGATAATATAGTTTAAGTAGGCCATTTATTAAGTACATGTATTTTATTTTAATAATCGCTCGGCTTATTTTATATAAGCTTTCTCACATTTTTGTTTTAAGACTTCGCTGTGCGCTGAATGTTTTAAACGTAATACATTTGTAATTTTAATGAATTATGCTAGCGACGACTATAGCGAATTTTGATATGATAATAATTATTTTTAAATCATGGGATGGGACAATCAGGCAAACTAAATGTGTCTAGTTCTGTTTTGAAATTCGGTTCTGAGGAAAATTAATTTTTCATAATTTATTTTATTTACCGATCTCGGTACAAACTAATTTTTTTATTGACTATATACACCTAACCGTTTTTATTGTGATCCATGTATCCATTACAGTTTAAAAACATGTAATGCTGAACATAAGATTTCTCCATAGATTGCCCCATCAGGAAGATGCTGCGGCAAATAGCTGTTTCAGTTTTCCTCTGGCGCCTCTTACATCACCTACGAATTATACCTATATATAATATCCACTACCCCATATCATCCATATGGGGTAGTGGATATTCTTATACCGTCACTACAAGGTTTAGTAATTTTTTTTTAAATTTTAAGTTTTAATTTAAACCATAGACTACGCCAGTATATTCTAAGTCTATGATTTAAACATTCCGTTTCAGTTTTCACTGAATGATTAAAAACAGCAACTACGACCTGATTTTAATACCTTTAAGCACATTAAAAAATACGAAATATTAAATAACATATTGTTTAACTACGCAAAACAGTAACCAACGAAGATTGACCCCTAACTCATTCACAAACATTAAGATTATGCTTAATGAGTAATTTGTTTGGGGTTTCAAGCTACCTATAGCTATATAGCTAAAGCAAGCAAAGCTAAGCTTCAAGTTAGCAAACCGAAGCCTATGTATACTTCGTAATTGTAATTTAACCACACACCGAAAGTCTTAAAGTTGTAACTAGTAATAACAAGTTATTATAAATGATTAATCAAACAGTAATAACGTGTAAGGTGGCCATTCATCTTAGATTATTTGGTACATTCCAGCATTGCGAAAACAAATATTTCCGCAAAGGTCGTAAGTGTCCTGCATGTTGTATTGTATGCCTTTGGAACGTACCGTAATTAAATTTTATTACGAAAACGAATAAAATATGTATATTGGATGAATTGTTCTTTACGCGTGTTGCTTGGTATTAAAATTTAAAATAAATCAGAATATTTATTGAAATTCAATTTAAAAAAATCGTGTTCAGTTATAAATTATCATCGAACATGGTTAAATTTTATATGGAACTAGGAAAGTATCATCGGGTAAAGTTTACAATTGGGTCGCCTGAATTAGGGGGTGGGGGTGGAGGGGTGGGGGTGGTGTGGGTGTGTGTGTGGGGGAGGGGAGGAGTAGTAGAGTCACTCCCTACTTCTCCTTCCTGCTGGACTTTCCCCTCACGCCCCTTCTGGTTTTCCGTCATCCCCTTCTAAACTAACCTGTCCGAGTCGGGGTGCCCCACGTCTCAGGCTCGCTTCGCTCGCTATTGCACTCAATATTAACTTTTATAACTACTTTAATTTATAAACATAATTTATGGCTGCCACCATTTGTAAGAAAGGATCTTTGCGATATTTAGCAGTATTCCGCCGCCACAAATATTCCACTATTCACCAAAATTCTGAAACTCTGAAGCAACGGCATGACGAAAAGCTGCCAACAAAATGGCCGGCCTAGCGATTAATTTTACACATTTTTAAATCGATTCGAATTGAAATTGGATTGGGAATCGATTCACAAAAAATCGAAATCTTAAAGATCTATTTCGCAAACATCGATCTTTTTTTTATTTGCGTTAAAAGTTTATATTCACAATATCAAAAGATACAATAAAGTACAGATAACATTGAATGATTGAATTAAAAACTGTCATTTTTAGAGTTGGGGATTACTAATTGTAAATAATTTTAAATCATAAAACAGAAAAAAGACTCGATCTCGATTCTCTCGGGTGAAATATCGATTCACTAGATCGATTCAGTACTATATATCAATATGACATTGACAGAATAAACGTCAAAAACGTGAGAATATTTAATTAATTAGTCAATTACCAATATTTTTAAAAAATAATTAAAAATACTTCGACGCTGTTCCGGCAGCAAAAATCGCGTGGGGGTGCTTCAGATAAACCCCCGTGACCCCCCCCCCCACATTGACAGAATCTTCAAATTCAGGCGACCGAATCGTAAACCCAACCCAAATACAGGCGTTTTATGACCTTTTGCTTTTTTAACGGAATTTAAATAATCACACATGTGAGACTTTCTTACAGTTGGATAACTGAGTTAGGTACTATTGACTTTTATAGCTGTATTTATTGAACAATATAAATATATTTTAGGGATTTTTCATGAATATATCTATAAATATTATAGTTGGGAATGTCTCCTCTAATTTAAATTCTCTGATACAGATATATTAGAACAAAATTTTTGAACATGATGAAAATTATTTATTTTCAGGATTAAGCATTAAATTATGTGCCCATGTTTTTTAAATCTCTTCGCAAAGGTGTCAAGTCGTTCACGTGATAATGCAACTACAGTGCGAGTGCGCCTGTCTTGTTGAAACTTAAATTAGGAGTCGCGAACACTCTGTCTACATTTAGTCCTATTTTTATTATTAAAGAATATATATTTTAATTTATAGTACTTTGAATTTCTAAAATGCATTTCAGTCCGTTAGTCACGCTAAAGCATGAAAATGCCTCGAACGAATTTGAGAAAATGGATAGTTTAGACATGCAATTGGTTCCGCTAGGTGGCGTTGCTATCGAGATCCAGAAATAACCCGTAACAATCCGTGGTGGACCGCCAATCAGTAATAAAGAATAGGTTTTAATAATAAAAATAAGTGAAAAATTGTTACAAATTTTTCATAGTAATTAGATAGAATTAGATAATTATTAATTAGAAGTTATCAACCCAAACATTGTTAAGTAACTGCGCACCGCTGAGCAGAATTGAAAATTCGTGTAAAATACCAAGAAAAGCTCCTAATGTGCTGCTTAATGTAACGTTTACGCGGTAGAGCTAAGTGGGCTATAGAGAGTTAGAAATTGTGCTGTCACAACATAACCACACCGAATATTTTGTAACTGATAAAAATTACGATCTAAATTTATGAAAGATAGGCGTCGCTGTAAATTTATACTAGATGTAGCTTAGATCACGCCCGTTGCTCTGAAGCATCGCTAGACATGTTATAATTTCAAAGTTGAGCTTAAAAGCGTTTTAAGACGAGAATCGAGAGACTCTCTAGAACATAGCCATTCTATCGACACGATATTTCATTTTAACGTCCCTTAGGAACAATAAAAAATAATGAAATCCTTGTTGAAAGATATATCTTGTTACAATGCGCTTACATACGGCCGAGGATGTGCTGGCCTTGTAAATACTTTATAGCTTTAAATAATTACATTCACCTACGAAGCGAACACGAATGCTAAAGAATTTAAGAGACTTTTTGTTTTATTCCATTTAGCTTTACACATTTTGTACCGGAGTCACAAGCACCATCGATACCTGCCGTTGGGATCGATTTTCCATAGTCCTTAACATACATATTGTCCTCGTTTTAAAATCTCTGAGTTCAATTCTTTTGTTTTCACCTTACGTTCATCAGTTAGTGAATCGGTTTCAATCGATTTAATTCAACGCGTAATCGCACTTAAGTTTTCATTAGATTTCATTAGCGGTTTTTAATATCCAAATTCAATACTGCAAAAATATTAATTAAATGGGATGATCGGGTGCACGAAAATCGAAAACTGTCTTCCATGAAATTTGGGGCTACGTCTCTAGAGAGTACGAGTACGATCACTATATTTGCGCTTTCTAAAAAGATTAAATTTAATAAAATCGTGCTACTAAGAATATGAAGACAAGTCTAAACAAATGACAAAGGCCGAACTAGATACACGTTCTTTGCGATTTATTGTGAAAGTGACAATAGGTATAATATTGTTTATAATGTAGTTATCCTTCGCTGTGACAAATGAAGCTGAAATAAAAAATAGTTTTTTTAAGTAGTACGTATGTTACGGTACGGCATATAAATTACATTTCATGCAAATTTAGTAGTTAAACGTTCCTTTGAACACTCAAGTTGTTCTTTCTAGCGAGTGCGTTGTATCGCTTGAGCTTGAGCTTAGGTACCTACTGCATAACTTGTCATTCAAATTCAACGAGTGTAAATAAAACATAAATTGCTCGTATTTTATTGCTATTTATTATATTTACTTTGAAACTAAAATTAAAGTACGTTTTACCCGACTGCGCGACGCAAAGGCTGGTATTGTGTTTATCAGCCTATATTCGTGCCTATATTATATGTTTTTGTTCTTTTGTGACGCTATGGAGACCATAATCTTAATCTTGTGTCACTAAAGATATGGCATTAATCGAAATACAATATGGCGACAACTAGACGCCATATTGTTAAAAAGAAAATAATAAAAGTCGATGAATTATATCGATTGGGGTATCATTTAATATATTTGTACATCATATTAAGGTTTCCCTAATCATTTTACATTTTGAACGACCATTTATGATCTATGTATAACGATTGAAAGTTGGTTAGCAACTAGTCTCACATACAGTTTCAAAACTTATAAAGAAACTGTGATAAATGTCTTA